GAAGACGACTTTTGGTCCATTTCAAACGCCATATTGTTTGTTGTTTGATTAAACTTTTCATCGCTGTCAGTTTGCAATTTAACTGTAAATAATTTGCATAAATATTACATCTATTGACAAATAAACAAATAAACAAATATTACAAATATTCGGACAAAATAAACAAGAGATGCTAATTCTTTTCAACAACCTGGCTTTATTTAGGATTGTCAGACAACGCATCCTGAAAGGGACTGTAAGCTTAATTTTTAAAGTGACTCTCCATGAAAAGAAACAATGAACAATTTACTACGGTACCCTTCAAACCTTTGTTTTTGTCAAGCAAAGAGATATGTGTGTTTAAGCTTATGTGTGTTTAGCCTTGAAATTCAAGTGTGCTGTGTTGAGTTCTAACTGTACATAACTTTGCACAGCGCATATCGGAAATCGCAGCTGAATACAAGCGGGGTTCGATAAGTTTACACACATATATCTCTATACTCGACGAACACACAAACGTTTTTAGGGTACTGTTGTAAATCAGACATTGCCCTCTTTGCATAGAGAGTCCCTTGAAGTTATGCGTGCAGTCCCTTTAATATTTTATGGAATATATAATTAAAGGAGAAAGTATGCAAAATAAAATTTCAGCAAATTGAAAACAACATTCAAAATAAATAACTTCTTCAGAAATCAACAAATCAAAAATAGATTCTTTAATTCATCAAACCATAATCAAATATTTGTTCTCGCTTACATTTAGGAAATAAAAAAAAATTAATGCTAAATGAGTTTGAAAAACGTAAAATTATAAACTTGTAGACACCATTTTATTTCTATTTTCCACATGGGAGGGAGGGAGGGACAGATTACAGCTTTCTCATTAGGTATCACTATACTAAATCAAAGAATTATTTAAAAAGACGATATCGAATTCGTCACTGAATTCCCATGTTTTTTGGGACACCCTGTACATGATATTTAGTTTACAGGAAGATGGAATTTTCTATTTTTTAAAGATTCTAAATTATAACTAAAGTAAAAACTAGATATGCATTACAGTATATGTAATTCATTTTTTCCAATGCAATAAACTTTAACAGTTCATTGACTCGACATAAATGAAAAATAATCCAATTGAAGCCCTCTTCAAATGTCGTCTTAGAATCGATATTCTAAAAATTTGTGAAACTTAAATTGACAGTTTATCTTTCTGATAGTTTCATTAGATTGATAATAGGTTCCTTTTTCCCATTTATTTTTGTTTATTAAACGGAGAAAATAAAGTGGGTTTGTTGGGATCAATAAAAGTGATAAAAACTTAGTTGATGGCTTTAAAATGTCGTCATACATGTCTTGAATAGTAATAATTTGAACTTCTATCGAGTATGGATTATGCCACTTAAAAAGCAAAATTATCAGCGTTAGTCATCAATAAACCTTCCGTGATATCATGTGAGTTGCCACAAAAATGTTTGCCCGATCGGTTAAGCCGCGCGTTTTGACGTTTATTGGATACAATCGGACAGATTGTATAAACAGATGATCTAAAAATTCTTTTTATATTAACGGTAAAAACGGAAAAAACGAAAAAAAAAACAGGTAAAAAGCATCTTTTTTTAAAGGTAGAATGCAAAGTACTCCAAAACACAGACTGTTTCATTTGTAAGTTTTGTTATAGATATTTCTATAATTGTCAGAAGAAAATCATGGAGAAAAACGTTATTAAACTTTGAATTGATAATCGATGTTCATAATGTACAACTATTGTAAATTTTAAATTGCGATGTAACATTTTTAGCTTTTAAATTCAGCCATTATTTCTTCTTGCAGTGTGAAAAAATACAACTTAAGCCGTTTTGACGTTTTTTAGATATAAACAAACAAACTGGTAAACGGCAAGTAACAAACAGACAAACAGATATTCTCTTAGCATGAAAGAACACCAAACAATAGGTAATAAAATTTGTAAACATGGGTGTATAATTTATGGGTATGAGGAGGACTAAACGTGTTTTTTTAAAGAATATTCCTGATTTGTTCTGGCTTTAAAGCAGGAGGATTTACGCTAAATTTTTTCCCGAAAACACCCACTATTCTATGCGTAAAGTAGTTTTATGTGGCCCTTTCAGAGTAGCATTACCGAATCACAACGGTACCTTTAACACCCTTTACTGAGTTTTTTTTTAAAAAGCGATTTGTCGATGAGGTTGCACACATGTAGTATCACTAATTGCAGGAGCGCAGGTCTTATAGGAGCAGGGTCGGGGGGACCGCTATTTATAGAGGGATGGGGGGATGTTGACCCCTCCCCCTTGGAAAAACATTTGAAGCGCAACATAACTCTTCGCTAACATATGTATATATATAAAATGTTAGCTATAAGGCTAACTAAACGGCTGAACTAAATTTGCTGAATGGGCACCACGTCGCGTCGTTGACATAGGCTATAAAATCTAATAATTTTTTCTATTCCACGGGCAACGCCGGGCACTTCAGCCAGTATTTATTTTATATATACATAATCAATTAGTGTTATGTTATATTATCATCATATGATATCATTATTAATCTGTTTTATTATATTATCAATGATTATCTGTATATCTGAAGTCTATAACCTCATGGCTCAGCATTAAAAAGTTAATCACGTAACCTTCATTGTCCTAAAGAACTTAAGCTGCAGTGCAATTGGATGGAATTTATTTTTGGACGATTATAACTTTTAAAACACTCTTTTAGAGTTTAATGGATAAAATGGATTAGTAAAAATGTATCTTAGAAAAGTAAGATTAGTAGCGATCACCATCGAGAATCTTTCGCCGTAAGCCTATACCCCCTTTCATTTTTCGCGAACACTCCCTTTTGAAGATAGATTAAGGATCAGGATGGTATGGAGGACGGATCGGTTGGGGGGTAAGGGTTTAGGGAAGGGTTTTAACTAACTAAGAGAGCTAAACATCAGAAGGTTTACTATCAATACACTTATCTCTAGTATATATCTGTTATCTCGGAGTTTGTATGAATTTAGATTAGAACAGTTATATTTGAACCTTGTATTTGAACCCGGTAGAATAGGGTGCAGGAGATTAAAAGATTCCAAGATGAAGATCTAAGAAGATATAAGAGGAGAACATGAGAAGAATAGAAGATATAGGAGGAGAACATGAGAAGTATAGAAGATATAGGAGGAGAACATGAGAAGAATTGAAGATATAGGAGGAGAACATGAGAAGAATTGAAGATATAGGAGGAGAACATGAGAAGAATAGAAGATATAGGAAGAGAACATGGGAAGAATAGAAGATATAGGAGGAGAACATGAGATTTGCATGCTTGCAAAAAGTATCATGGCAATCATGAATTTTATCATGCAATTGATAAGGCAACCGTTTTCAATATGCATTTCTTAGAACAATGTTGTTAAATCAGCAGAGCAATCCTTTACAACTACATTTAGAGAAAGGTTATTCTTTTTTATCTGATCTTTTTCTTTTACTCTAATAGAATCTCAAATCATTAAAGTAAAATTATTTATCCTTCAATCCAACTATCATTCTACTGCTTGGATCCAACTATCCTTCTGATGCTTGGATCCAACTATCCTTCTACTGCTTGGATCCAACTATCCTTCTACTGCTTGGATCCAACTATCCTTCTACTGCTTGGATCCAACTATCCTTCTACTGCTTGGATCTAACTATCCTTCTACTGCTTGGATCCAACTATCCTTCTACTACTTGGATCCAACTATCCTTCAACTGCTTGGATCCAACTATCCTTCAACTGCTTGGATCCAACTATCCTTCAACTGCTTGGATCTAACTATCCTTCAACTGCTTGGATCCAACTATCCGTCTACTGCTTGGATCCAACTATCCTTCTACTGCTTGGATCCAACTATCCTTCTACTGCTTGGATCCAACTATCCTTCTACTGCTTGGATCCAACTATCCGTCTACTGCTTGGATCTAACTATCCTTCAACTGCTTGGATCCAACTATCCGTCTACTGGTTGGATCCAACTATCCTTCTACTGCTTGGATCCAACTATCCTTCTACTGCTTGGATCTAACTATCCGTCTACTGCTTGGATCCAACTATCCTTCAACTGCTTGGATCTAACTATCCTTCAACTGTTTGGATCTAACTATCCGTCTACTGCTTGGATCTAACTATCCTTCTACTGCTTGAATCTAACTATCCTTCTACTGCTTGTATCTAACTATCATTCTACTGCTTGGATCTAACTATCCTTCTACTGCTTGGATCTAACTATCCTTATACTAATTGGATCTAAATATCCTTCTACTGATTGGATCTAACTACCCTTCTACTGATTAGATCTAACTATCCTTCTACTGCTTGGATCTAACTATCGATTTCATTCTAAACTATGCTTCTTTGATCTAACCATCATTAAAAACTTTATTCCTTTAACTTTTCTAACTATCATTTCAAACTATGTTTTTTGGATCTAACTATCAATATCATTTCAAACTATGTTTTTTGGCTAACTATCATTCTAAAGTCTAAACTATATTCCCTCAATTTTTCTAACTATCATTTCAAACTATGTTTTTTGGATCTAACTATCTTTCCAATATACTCCTTTAACATATCTAACTATCATTACAAAATATGTTTTTTTAATTCTAAAAACTATCATTTCAAACTATACTTTTAAATCTAACTATTATTCTGAATTATACTTCTTCAATTTAAGTTTTCCATAAAACCGACTTTATTAATTTATTTAACAAAATCTAGGGGGAAAAGTATGATTAAAGCTAATCTCCTTAATGTTAACTATTTATCTACAATATATCTCATGATGAAAATATTTAAATCTTTAAAGATCTGGATCCTAGAAATCTTGAATGCCTGATCACGAACTCTAGTTTTTACGATCTTTCATCCGTGGAAAATCAGTTCTTTGAAAACAAAATTTTAAGTAAAAGAATCCTTTCATAAGCTCCCTGGCTTTCTTTCGGGGAGTTCCTTTGCTAGGTGAGCGCGTTGTTTAAAGGAGCGCGCGTGTACTACCAAGCGCAGTTGTTCACTCTACATCGTTGAAATCACTACAGAATGTTACGCACGGTACGCTTCTAAAAGGGTGGACAGAATAAAACGAACATTTCGGTGTTAGGATTAAATGAGTCAGATATAATGTACAAATGGTGGTAAAAAAGTATATTTGGAACTGAACTGTACGGCAAGTGTGTCGTGTGCAGTACGGACTTGTACTTTTATACACAAGCTGTCGTATTGGTGAAACAACTAAAAATAGTTTTCAGATTATACATTTTATATTCACAAAACTATAATTTTTTTCAAGTGTTGTTATGTTTTCTAAAACAATTCCAAAAGCATAGCTTTTTTTCGTCATTAGATATTTTGAACGTTCTTAATATCGATCATTTCTGAAATACACGAAAAAGGCTAAATCTTTCAGTTTTCAATAGTAAAGAATCAAATGAATTTTTGCCACAAACTCTGAGGTTTTAATCACTTCATCTTTGCAACCCAATGTCGACGTAGACCTTAGATATTTTAAATATGAATTCTGATAGATGAAGATATCATAGTTTGCAATATCAAAGGTTTACGCCATTAGTTTACAAAATATAGAAATTAAAAAAATTTAAGTTTGTGGCAAAACTCAGCTACTTTAGTATCTATATTCAGTGTACTGCAGATAGTTTTTAACTGTATTTTCTATAAATATATATAAATCTTGTTCNTCCGGGACGTACTTTAGAACCAACCTTCTATTCTCAAACAGTGTTCCCCAATAAAAGACGACTGCAAAGTTTAAATCAATCTTATTGTCTAAATTCACGTTTTACACATATTTAAACATATTTTTACATCCTTCCCTTCAAATTCACCAAATCTCTAAACATTGCAAAAAACTGAATTACTTAACCTTGAAAATTCTAGTCTATTAGGATAAACATAATTAATTTATTATTTCCTCTTTTATCTTATTTTCAAATTACGAGATTAGGATTAGAGATTTGTGGAAATAAAGCGTAATTACACGTATGCAAAATTTATCTTTATTTTTAACTTTATTTCCTCACGACTCTTAAAGAAGTTCGAACCCAGGGGTTAGAAAGAATTGCATGGTTGACAATTTTATAATCGGGTTCAAATCGTGTAATGTTGTATCAAAATTACGTTCAAAATTTTGGATTTTTAAATGAAAAACTATTTATAATTTTGTATGAAACAGTAATTTGAAAATAAATATATATATTAGATAAAATATCCGCCATGAAATCAAAAAGTCATTTACAAAATGAAATTACCAACGTCTCAATTTTATATCGAGGTCAAACCTTGATTGGTTATAAAACTAATTTGCTCTGGCATTGATGAATGATAGAGCTCTAAAATCTTGTAAAATATGAAGTTTTATGAATCAATGGATGATTGCACCGTTAGTTTGACGAGATTTGATCAATTTACATATTTATTAGAAGAACAAATAGCAAATGTATTGATATAGTATGGATGAGAAGTTTTTATAATTTCAAATCAAACATTTTAAAGTTTATGGTTTGGCGAACTTGAAATATTCATGGTTCGGTTCATTCTTGAGTTCTCCGTTATAAATAAAATTGACAAATTGTTTTTTAATTTATGCTTTTTGTCTTATAATCAAATTTAAGAAATCTCTTTTCTTTATATTTTCAAACCTTGTATTCCTCCTTTTATTCCTTTGTTCCTTCTTGTATTCCTCCTTGTATTTCTTGAATTCCTGCATTCCTTATTGTATTCCTTGTGTTTCTCCTTGTGTTCCTTGTATTCTTTATATTCCTCCTTGAATTCCTGTATTCCTTATTATATTCCTTGTATTTCTCCTTGTGTTCCTTGTATTCTTTATATTCCTCGTTGAATTCCTGTATTCCTTCTTATATTCCTTATATTCCTTATTGTATTCCTTGTGTTTCTTCTTTTGTTCTTTGTATTCTTTATATTTCTCCTTGAATTCCTGTATTCCTTATTATATTCCTTGTATTTCTCCTTGTGTTCCTTGTATTCTTTATATTCCTCCTTGAATGCCTGTATTCCTTCTTATATTCCTTTTTGTATTTCTTGTATTCTTTATATTCCTCCTTTATATTCCTTGTATTCCTCCTTATATTCCTTCAATGTCTTCATTCATTCCTCCTTGTATTCTTTCTTGTGTTCCTTGTATTCCTTCTTTCATTCTTCCTTGTATTCCTCCTTGTATTGCTCCTTTTATACCTCCTCGCATTCCTTATATTCCTTGTATTCCTTCTTGTATTCTTTGGATTCCTTCTTGCATTCCTTCTTGTATTCCTCCTTGTATTCCTCCTTGTATTTATTCTCGTATTCCTTTTATTCCTCCTTGTATTCATTGTATTCCTATATGTATTCCTGGCGTTCCTTGTATTCCTTGAATTCCACCTTTATCCTTGTATTCCTTATATTCCTTGTATTTCTTGTATTCCTCTTTTCATTCCTTGTATTCCTTCTTGTATTTCTTCTATTCCTCCTTGAATTCCTTGTATTCCTCCTTGTATTCCTTGTATTCTCTGTATTCCTTGTATTCCTCATTGTATTCCTTGTTTTCCTTCTTGTATTTCTTGTATTCCTCCTTGTTTTCCTCATTGTATTCATTGTATTCCTCCTTTTATTCCTTGTATTCCTCCTTGTATTCCTTGTATTCCTCATTGTTTTCCTCCTTGTATTCCTTTTTGTATTCCATGTATTCCTGTTTGTATTCCTTGTATTCCTCTTTGTATTCCTTGTATTCCTCCTTGTATTCCTTGTATTCCTTCTTGTATTCCTTGTTTTCCTTCTTGTATTCCTTCTTGTATTCCTTGTATTCCTTCTTGTATTCCTTCTTGTATTCCTTGTATTCCTTCTTGTATTCCTTGTATTCCTTCTAGTATATCTATTATTCCTCACTGTATTGTAAAAGGTTGCAAATGTAGATGGATAAGCGTTGAATTCTGAATGACGAGCATATAATTAATATCTCCAGGTTCTGGTTTCATTTCTCACAAAGGTCATCTTCGATTTTCATCTTCAGGACATTTGATAAAACTTTTATTCGTCGAAGGTTCTGTTTTAAGGATTACCCTGGAAAATTAGTTTTAAATTGTAGGTAAAGAGGGGATAGGGAAATAAAGATTTGGGATACTCGTTGTTCTATTTGTAAATCTCTAATAATCTATGCAACAAAATTCTCATTAAGGAAAATAAATCTAATTCTAAAATTGAACAGAAAATCTAGCTTTATTCTGAGAGTATAAAGGTTCTGTAATGATTAGAGATTTTTCATTTTTCATTTTTAACACATTTTTTAATAACGTAAAATATGAAAATAATCAGTTCTATGTTTATGATGATGTTTTATCGTCTTTTAAATGTCTGGAAAATTTTTGGACACCCTGTTCCCAAGGCAAGATAATTTTTTTTAGGTCAAAAATGTTATTTTAAATTAATTTTACCAGATTAATCCTGTTTCCAATACTTAAATCTAAGTACGCCAGGAAAATTATAAGATGTACACAATATTTAATTTTGTTTAGAAAATACAAAGAACAAAAAGTACAAATTTTATCAAAATATGTAGTAACAATCTATATATACGGTGTAAGATAAATCTAATTATATTGGAACGCTCCAAGAAAACTGATTACTAATCAAAGATTTTATTTTAGGCGTTATTGGGAGGTTTTCTCCTGTTTGCATTAGTAGAAGCACAGAGGAATATTTTCAGAAATATACTTTTTAATTTTATCAAATTAAAAAACACAGAAAGCGTAATTTCAAGTGACAATCCATGAAAAGATGACATAATGTCCGATTTACAACGGAACCCATAAAAGCTTTGTTTGATCAAATATGGATTAGACATTTATGTTTTTGTTTCTTTAAACTATTTCTTCTTTTTTCCGGCTTCTCTACATGCAAAAGTGACTAGCGCATTTCTAGCTTATTAGAAGCAATGGAGAAATTATCAGAATTAATCACTTTTCAAGTCATAAAACGACGGCATCTTCCAAATTTATGATCAGATTAAGGTTTTAAGGGTACCACTGTAAATCGAGCTTTGCCATTTTTACATGGAGGGTCACTTGAAGTTACGCTTACATTCCCTGTAAATCTTTGTTAATAAATTTTTGAAAATATAATAATAAACTAAAAATAATTTCTATACAAGTTTTGTTTGAAAGGTTTGATGAAGAAAAGGATTTTATTTTGTTTGTGCACCGTTGTGTGTTGAGGCTAATGTAAGAAGAATGCATTGAATGCATAACCTTATATTGAGATTAATCTGATATTATAAAGAACCAGAAACAGTGGTAACAGGACACCTAGACAAAATGGACAGTTTGGAAGTAACGGAGTAACCAGGTAACCCAAAAATTAATGTTTTCATTTAATTTTGGGTAGCTCCCAACCTTTTTTATATCCCAAACTTGTTCATTTCCCTACCTTGTTCATTTCCCAATATTGTTCATCTTCCAAAGTTGCTCTTCTCCCAATCATGTTCATCTCCCAAACTTGTTCATTTCCCAACCTTGTACATTTCTCAATCTTGTTGATCTCTAAAACTTGTTCATTTCCCAACCATATTCATCTCCCAGCCTTATTAATTTCTCAACCTTGTTCATTTCCCAATCTTGTTTATATACAAACCTTGCTCATCTCCCAATCATGTTCATTTCCCAAATTTGTTCATCTCCTTGCCTTGTTCATTTCCCAAAAATGTTCATCTCCCAACCTTGTTTATCTTCTAACAATGTTCATATCCCAAAAAATGTTCATCTCCCAACCTTGTTTATCTTCTAACAATGTTCATCTCCCAAACTTGTTAATCTTCCAACCTTGTTCATCTCCCAACCTTGTTCATCTCCTAACCTTGTTCATCTCCAAACCTTGTTAACTCCCAACCTTGTGCATCTTCTAACCTTGTTCATCTCCCAACCTTGTTCATATCCCAACCTTGCTCATCTCCCAACCTTGTTTATCTCCCAATCTTAATATATCTCAAACCAATTAGAGAAACTAAAACCTTTTTCCAAAATCAAACTCTCTTTTATCTCCGCCAAGCATTTCCATTTCACTTTAAAAAAATAATACATGCATTTAAGTCCTTTAACCTTGGCCCCTTCTCTCCCTTCCCCCCCTTTATTACCCCCACCTGCCCTCATCCCGTCTCCCCCCTCATCCCTCATCCCTCCTCCCTACTTCCCATCTACCAAACCCTAATTTCAAGCACATCTCAAAGTTTTTAGATTCTCTCTCCGACCGATCAATCTTGACGTTTATGCACTCCCATTCATTCCTCCTCCGTCTTGATTACTTACTATTCAAACCCTGTATCTTAGTTCTATTTAGGAACGGAGCTAGGGATGCAGTAGGAACTGAAGTGTATCCGGGATGTGACGGGAAGGTTTGTCTTCCAGAAGCAGATCTATGTGCTAACCGGAAAAACAAGGTAGAGCAATACTTCATGAACCTTGATTACCAGAACCCAGATCCGGATACTAAAACCTAGATCAGGATACTAGAACCTAGATCAGGATACTAGAACCTAGATCAGGATACTAGAACCTAGAACAGGATACTAGAACCTAGATCAGGATAGATCAGGATACTAGAACCTAGATCAGGATACTAAAACCTAGATTAGAATACTGGAACCTAGATCAGGATAACAGAATCTAGAATAGTAGTAGGGTTTAGTATACTTGGAGTAAGAAAAGGATAAAAAATAGCACTGAGGCGCGTATACAAGGGGGGGGGGCAGTAGTCCTCTTGCCTGCCAACCTCTGGTAAATAAAAACTAAAAAGGAAACTATGTTTAAAAAGTAACACCTGACAATGATAAAGACTAAGGGTTTGCATAAACTCCCTGTTAATACAAAATTTTTCCGGAAACCAGGAAGCTTGTCCAGCCTTCCAAAAACGTTGAATGAAGGAGAGAGAATTCTTAGTCTTAGCTGAAGATGAGAATACTTCATTACACAAGATGTACTATGACGGAGGCCGGGTAGACTCATTGCACTCATGGCCGTACTTACACCCTACAAGACTCTTCTGAGAAAATCATTGAAATGTTTGTGCAAGCAAATTCTAGAAAATTTAAGTTGAAGTTGAAGTTGAATTTGATGATGGGGTCAATTTTAAAGATTTCAAAGAAATTTCGTTTTATGGTGAAAATTGAATATTTTAATAATGCTGTGATTAATGATTCATTTAGCTAGGGGGGGGGGCTAACCCGATTTTGCCCCCCCCCTTTTAGCACATTACGCCCCCTCTCGCCCCTCCCCCTGATTCGACTGTAGTACGATCATGATTGTTGACCATCTTTTATCAAATTTTGCCAAATTTTTCTTCGGCGCTTCGAGCATCATTCTTACAAGAGTTTTGTTCAACTTAAAGAAAGTCAGGAAAAGTATATATGTTACTTCTTATGGGGATTATAATTCATACATTTAAGGTTACAAAGATGAATTACAGAATTCTGATGTGTAGACTGCAATAAGGACTTAAAACACAGAGTGAATATGAAATGTGTGCGATTCTCGCACACATTTAACGAGTTCACTTATATCGGTCATTTAACAGTACAGTAACTGCAAGTAAAACTTTTTACATAAGAACAAGCCATTAAGGGTGTAATAAGAAATTGTATATATTGAGCACAGACCCAGACCTGCAACAGTTAAAAATTTCTGTTTTTTCGACTTCAAACCCTTTAAACAGCGCTTTCATTTTCAAAAAAATTTTCAACACGGAGGGGCTAATTCCGCACTGTACCCTCCCTCGAAACCCTTGAAAATTAAATTTTGCCCCCCCCCCCCCATACAAAATTGCTAGTTGGAGACGGAGTTAAGTGATATTACGTTACAGTTAAAAAGTTAAAGTTAGTTTTTCGAGCAAATAAATAAATTTTAGACTCTTTAAGGGTAGTTAAACCTAAAAATGTAATGTGTTTGATGTATTTTTAAGATGTTAAGTGACTTTTTGAACATCAATATTCCAAATCCTGTATACGCGCCTGATAGTATTCACGACTCCAAACATAAGATCTTCTGTAATCTTACTAGGAAGAGGAGGCGGAGCAAGGGGGAATTAGTTAAAGTTTATAAATGAGCAGATTCCTATGTTTCTGAATTTAATGACCCTGTGTTGAACCCTCTAATATGAGAATAAACCTCTAGGTTCTGCATATATTAAACAGTCTCACAACAAACAAACAGTAAATCTTCAACAAACATTTTTGAAAGAATAAACAATAAACAAACCATTGAGTTTTAATGTGTGTGTTTTTTCTTCCAAAAAGCCGGAAATCGTAAAATGGAATTAACTTGAACCTGTATCCTGTAAAATATATCCTGTGTCTTTGATAGATTTTCTTTAACCTATAATATCCTGTTCCAAGTTTAAGATTAAAGAATTTATTAAAAGATCGACCTTGTACCGGTATCAGTTCCAGAGCAAACACCTTTAATTCATGAACCCAACCCAACCCAGTTTAATAGAGAGACAGGAAACCTGGAGTTTTTCAACATTCTTTAACACGGCAACAGCATTCCAATCCTACACGGGGATACATAGTTCACATAGCAGGAAATTAGGAGGGTTAGATATAGATATAGATATCCTGATCTAGGTTCTAGTATCCTGATCTAGGTTCTAGTATCCTGATCTAGGTTCTAGTATCCTGATCTAGGTTCTAGTATCCTGATCTAGGTTCCAGTATCCTGATCTAGGTTCTAGTATCCTGATCTATGTTCCAGTATCCTGATCTAATTCTAGTATCCTGATCTAGGTTCTAGTATCCCGATCTAGGTACTAGCATCCTGATCTAGGTTCCAGTATCCTGATCTAGATTTAGTATCCTGATCTAGGTTCTAGTAATCTGATCTAGGTTCAAATACCCTGATCTAGGTTCTAGTATTCTGATCTAGGTTCTAGTATCCCGATCTAGGTTCTAGTATCCTGATCTAGGTTCCAGTATCCTGATCTAGGTTCTAGTATCCTGATCTAGGTGCTAGTATCCTGATCTAGGTTCTAGTATCCTGATCTAGTTTCTAGTATCCTGATCTAGGTTCTAGTATCCTGATCTAGGTTCTAGTATTTTGATCTAGGTTCCAGTATCCTGATCTAGGTTCCAGTATCCTGATCTAGATTTAGTATCCTGATCTAGGTTCTAGTAATCTGATCTAGGTTCAAATACCCTGATCTAGGTTCCAGTATCCTGATCTAGGTTCTAGTATCCTGATCTAGGTTCCAGTATCCTGATCTAGGTTCTAGTATCCGAATCTAGATTCTAGTATACTGATCAAGGTTCTAGTATCCTGATCTAGGTTCTAGTATCCTGATCTAGGTTCTAGTATGATGATACCTGGAAAGAAAAAAATTAAACCTTAAAATAACTGAAATGTAGAGCTTTCAAATGACACTTGATTGTATAAATTGATTGAAAATTGTTCTCTCAGTAACTTATACAAAGGTTTTTTTTCGGAACACCCTGTATGTGTTACATGAATATCTATATCTATATATAAAAATGTTTCAGGTAGGAGAGAAGGAGTATGATGGTAAATCCTACTGGTTTTCATGGGACAGCGATGAGGCAGTTCTCAGGAACGCCAGATGGAACTGGTTTACTGCTAGAAACTACTGCAGGTAATCATTCAAGGAACTACATATAACTCTCATATGATAGAAACTGTTCCAAATAATGAACAAAAGTTAATGCACAGAAACTCTCTACAACATGTTCCAGTTAAGGAAACCTTTCAGGAACTTTCAGTGAACCATTGATATTGTTCCAAGCAAGGAACTTATTAGTCTCAGGAACGTAAGATTTGTCTGTTGTGTACTTGAAATAAGAAACAGGTTTGGTTAGATTAAAATTAAGAAAGGCGTGGTTTAAAAATATTTAACACATCTGACAAGGGTTTCCTTATCCTACAAAAACTCTAAATTGAACTATACACAGACATCCATAAACTATGCATAAAGTCATAATCTATTAAGCGTATCCATCCATCAAGAGTTAATATTAATCTCTGCTGAAAATGGTTTTCAATTTGTTCTTTGTATCTAAAAAGTCCACATTCATCTCAATATCTTTGTTCAGGAAAAGATGTATGGATCTGATCAGTATAGAGAGTCAGGATGAGCAGGATTTCCTCGGACGGGAGATGAAGAAAGCAGGAGTAAGAGAGACCTGGTCCAGTGGCCGACTCTGTGATAAGGAGGTAATCAGCTTGATTAATTAATTTCTATTGATGCAAAAAATCTAAAATCAGGGTTAAAACTTTAAAAACTTTTTGAAATGACATTAGCACATCATGGTAGAAGAACTAAGATGAAACATTAAAGATTAAGGTTACAAAATAGAAGATACATGATGGAGGATACAATATGGTGTATTCAAAGTGGAGGATGGAAGATTAAAAATGGAGGGTTTTGAAATAGAGGCTTAATAATGGAAGATTCCAGATGTTGGTCTCAATATGGGCGGTTCAAAATAGAGGATTTAGAAGGAGGATTCAAGATGGAGGATTGAAGATGGAGGATTCAAGATTGACAATTGAAGATCGAGGTTTCAAGATGAAGGATTCAGGTGGAAGGATTTTAGATGATGGATTCAAGATGGAGGATTCAAGATAGAGGATTCAGGAAGGAGGATTTAAGATGGAACAGATGTAGGTTTTAATATGGGTGATTCAAAATGGAAGATTTAAGATGTAGGATTCAAGATGTAGGATTTAAGATAAAGGATTCAAGATGGAGGATTCAAGATGTAGGATTTAAGATAGAGGATCGAAGATGGAGGATTGAAGATGGAGGATTTAAGATGGGGGATTCAAGATGGAGGATTAAATATGGTGGATTTAAGAAAGACAATTAAAGGTGGAGGATTCAAGATGGAGGATTTAAGAAAGACAATTAAAAATGGAGGATTCAAGATGAAAATAGGCTTAAGGGACTTAAAATTGGGGATTTAGAACGAAAAATTTAAGATGGAGGATTCAAGATGTAGGATTTAAGATGTGTTTCAATATGGCGGATTCAAGAAGGAGGATTAAAGATGGAGGATTTAAGATGGAGGATTCAAGATGGAGAATTCAAGATAAAGGATTCAAGATAAAGGATTTAAGATGGAGGATTCAAGATGTAGGATCCACGATAAAAGATTCAAGATGGAGGATTCAAGATGGAGGATTCAAGATGAAGTATTTCAGCTGGAGGATTCAAGATGGAGGATTTATGATGTAGGATTCATGATGAAGTATTCAAGATGGAAGATTTAAGATGGAGGATTCAAGATATAGGATTTAAGATGTATGATTTAAGATGCAGGATTTAAGATGGAGGATTCGAGATGGAAGATTCAAGATGAAAATAGACTTGAGGGACTAAAAATTGGGAAATTAAAACGGAAATTTAAGATGAAGTATTCCAAATGGAGGGAGATGGAGATACAGAATTCAAAATAGGGAATACAAGATTGAGGATTCAAGATGAAGTCTGAAAGATTGAGGATTCAAGATGAAGTCTGAAAGAGGGAGGATTCAAGATTATGAATTCTTGATTTCTGATGTTTGAATTTACTTCCTTGTTTTCAGGTTGATGGATGTGACCAGCCTAGGTTCCAACCCTACAATATCCGAGGTTGGTTCTGGGCCTCTACTCTACAGGGTATGGGAGAAACCAACGTGTTCGATGGAAGAAAGGTACAATTTTTTAAATCTGAAATATGTTGATTTTTTGTAAGATAATTGATTTAATTTATTTTCAATTGTTTTCCTAATTTTTCAATATAACTGCCTTATTATTAATAATCATTTATTGATTTCAGTATAACGCCTGGTCCTTCACTGGTCCCCTGAACAAGTCCCAGCCTGATGGTCTGCTCAAGGCTGATGGGTTCGGAGAACAAGCTTGTATGGGTCTTCTAGATGATTTCTTCGGAGATGGACTTGCTTGGCACGACACCAAGTGCAACGACAGAAGGAACGGATTCAAACATCAACAAAATTTTATTTTTAAATATTTCTCCAGCTCGTTAATCTTGAAAACTTGGAACAATGAATCATTCAATTCATAAATTTAAACCTTTAACTCCATAAACCATCCTCAGCTCTCAACCTTTTCAACAATTTAACCATTAACCATAAACCATCCTCAGCTCTCAACCTTTTCAACAATTTAACCATTAACCATGAACCATTGAAACTTTAATCCTTTAAACTAATGATCTCTACATTTTATCTAGTATTTTAAACAAAGAATACTGGAACCACTGATCTCATATTCCTGAGCCTATGTTTGATCCTACCCTGAGCTAGGTTGATTATCTGTGAAGATCTACCAAAGGGAAACATCAACTTCGTGAGACAACAGAATCCAGGAGTTGTCATTCCCTAGATGCATTCCCCAGATTTATTTTCACACTTATTTTTTTGATTATTTTTCCTTTTTCCCTTTTTGTCCTTTCAATTTACTTACTTTTCTTCAGTTTCTCAGCCTTTCTTCAGACTCTCAACCCTCCTCATGTTTCTCATCCTCCCTCCTGTTTTTAAACCCTTCTCCTGTTTCTCAACCCTCCTCATGTTTCTCAACTCTCCTCATGTTTCTCAACCCTCCTCATGTTTCTCAACCCTCCTCATGTTTCTCAACACTCCTCATGTTTCTCAACCCTCCTCATGTTTCTCAACTCTCCTCATGTTTCTCTACCCTCCTCATGTTTCCTAACCCTACTCCTGTTTCCCAACCCTCCTCATTCTTCTCAACCCTCTTCCTGTACTTTTTCCTGTTTTTCCTCTTGCTCTAATCCCTGACTGTGTTCCTGAACCTATTTAACCCTAAACCTGATGCTTGGGCATAAACTAGAACCTTGAGGGCATTGTAAAATTATATATTTATATATGTATTTAGAACTAATTATATCAAGATAGTAAACAAATATATTTCTTCAGTTTAGTGATTGAGCTTTGGATTGGAACTGAACACTTGCCACAAACTCTTATTTTAAAATTCATATTTCTTTTCAACATGATATTGTAAACCTTAGAAACAAGCTTTGATTATTTAATCTAATAACACACAGAAGAAATAGGTCAAAGAAAATGAGTTTTTGTTACAAACTCAAATTTTTTTATCCTTGTATATTTAAAACCTGACAGTGTAAAGCTTTGATATTTCAAACTTTGATTATTTGATCTTATAGAATTCATAGCTTGAAATATCAAAGGTCAATGACATTGGACTGCAAAGATAATGGAATTAGAAAATCAGTTTTTGTGACAAAAACTCAATTCCTTTACGCGACTTTACTGGTAAGAGTTTGATTTTACTGAAAAGTATGGGAAAGAAATTTAAAATTAGAAATTCAAAACATTTTTGCTTCTCTCAGGAAGAGGAGTTATGACTTACGATTGAAACCATAGAATATTTAAATCTTATGCAAAATTTACTCTAGCTTGTCGTGAACAGAAGTCATAGTTTTAAATATCAACATCAAGGTTGCAAAGATATAGTAAACTGTAAAGATATCAGATTTAAAGATTGGAAGAACGTAAAGATATCAGATTTAAAGATTGGGAGAACGTAAAGATATCAGATTTAAAGATTGGGAGAACGTAAAGATGTCAGATTTAAAGTTTGCAAGAGTAAAACGTTAGATTTAAAGATTGAGATAGAGTAAAGTTCGATTAATCAGATTGAACGAGGGAGGGGTGGCTGCTCTCAGGGTTTTGGAGTGCTCCCAGGATTTTGGAGTTGCTCGACCAGGGTTTTGGAGTAAAATGTGAAAATTTATCCGACCTTTAATGAAATATCCTTTAAAAAGGGTAATTTGAAACCGAAAACTGAAAAAATGGTTCTTCTACCCCTTTTTACTGTCTTTGTTCAGATATTTGCAGGGAAAAAATCGCAAATTTCAGTCCAAGTAGCCTGTGGTCATCATATAGTTCTGATTAGCCAAACTGACGACATTTGTTTTAATTTATACATTAAAGATTATTGATAAATGTAAAAAAAAAAAATTTAGCCAGAGACATAAAGGAATTATTTGAGCTGGTCTAATACATCTCAAGCTTTTCTTTAGAAAAACCCAATTTTTCGCTTTAAAAAATCTGTAATTGATTGGTGCCATAAAAAAATAACTCAACAGTCACAAAATAAAAATTTTCTATGTCTAATTAAGATCCTTCTATTTGGCGCGCACTATACCAAAAATCATCAAATTATTGAGATATCTGAGGAAAACTAAGTAAAATGATCAGATTTTTTGTACAATTTGATAAATCTAAAAGACTTAATATTTGAGTAGTGGGTAGTAGAGCCATTTTTTCAATTTTCGGTTTTAAAGTACCCTTTTTAAAGGACTTTTCTTAAAAGTCGGATGGGCTTTCACACTTTTACTCTACTGGGAGCAACTCCAAAATCCTATAGAGAACTTCAAAACCCTAAAAGCTCCAACCCCTCCCTCATTCAACAAGTAAAGATTAAAGATTAAAAGAGTAAATATAATTAAAGGAATTGAGTCTTTGGAACAAAATCAAATATTTAAACCTCAATATCTTTAGAACTCGAAGTTGTAAACCTTTGATATTTCAAACTCAGATTATTTGATCTAACAGAATTCATAGAAATATCTAAGATCTGCAACATTTGGTTCCAAAGATATAGTGATTAGAAAATCAGAGTTTGTGACAAAGACTCAATTCCTTTAAGATTGATGATTAAGGAGGGGGGGGGGGGGGAATGACCTTTCCCAACCTCTGAAAGTGTGAGAAAATGATTCCCTGAGACTGGTTTTAAACCTTATATTTCACGAGATATCAACGCAAATGAAACCTTAATGTCAGGAAGTCAGCTTTTTGGCAATGAGCACTGTATGTATGTTTGTTGTGTATACGTGTTACGTTGTATTAATTTATATGCTTTTATAATTATCTTTAAAGATATATGGGATAGATAGATAGATCATATGTAGATTGATGGACAGATACAATGATTGTAAGACAAGGAAAGTTATTTCAGAAGTGTACACATCTTTTGCACTGCAGTCTACTGTCTCAGGGCGGTAATGTAAACACAAGACGGATGTCGAAGCCTGAAATGGGATCTATCTTTCACATAAAAAATCGATGAAATATTCTGGTCATATTTTCAAAATTTAATGCTTTCAACCTCCTCGGATAATAAACGAACACTGATGCATCTATTCTTGTTTACAAATTCCGCCCAAAGAGAACTGTGGCCGAATTTAAAGAATTTGAGCGGCGGTTTAAATTTAAGCCGCGGTTTAAATATGGTTGGTTCAACTTAAAATTGTATCAAATGTTTCAAGATTTAAGCCGGCGCTAAATTTAAACCGGGTTTTGGTGGATTTTGGTGGATTTAAACCGCGGCTCAAATTCTTTAAATTCCATCTCTGGTTTCAATTTGTACGCAGAGTATACACGACCGCAATAAACTTTCCTTGCCTTACATTCTTGGACAGATAGATATGACTTTATCAAAAGATTTTTTTTAAACATGAAAGTTTTTACATTAAAACTATTTATTAAATCTATCAAAATTGAATTGATATGACATTTTATGGATAGGAAATTTGTATAAAGGACCATTTTTCATAGATAAAATCTGCTTAAAATCTTCGAAACGTTTTTTACGTACTGCAGAATTACCAAATGAGGGTGGTAAGTTTCAAGCGAATTTTTTAAACATGCAAATTTATATCTGAGGTCCTTTGAAAATAGTTTTCCGGAATTTTCGCCATTTTTACTTGTCGGGCTCTTTTCAGTATTTTCAGAAATAAACTTTATAAACAAAGTTATATTTTCATCCTTAACAACTGGTTATTTATTTTTAACTACCGGAGACCGAGGGGAGGTTGTTATAGACAAACTAAAGAAATAATAAAAACTTTACGAAATTAGTGTTCAGTGTTCAGTGTTCAGTGCATCCGGGTTCAGTGTTTAGGGTTCAGTGTTCTGTGTTTGCAGTGTTCAGTGTTCAGTGTTCAGTGTTCAGGGTTCAGTGTTTAGTGTTTAGTGTTTAGTGTTTAGTGTTTAGTGTTTAGTGTTTAGTGTTTAGTGTTTAGTGTTTAGTGTTTAGTGTTCGGCGTTTAGTGTTTAGTGTTCAGTGTTTAGTGTTTAGTTTTTAGTGTTTAGTGTTCAGTGTTTAGTGTTCAGAGTTCAGGGTACTGCGTTTAGTGTTTAGTGTTCAGTGTTTAGTGTTTAGTGTTTAGTGTTCAGTGTTTAGTGTTTAGTTTTTAGTGTTTAGTGTTCAAAGTTCAGGGTACAGCGTTTAGTGTTTAGTGTTCAGCGCTTAGTGTTTAGTGTTTAGTTTTTAGTGTTTAGTGTTCAGTGTTTAGTGTTTAGTGTTTAGTGTTTAGTGTTCAGTGTTTAGTGTTTAGTTTAGTGTTTAGTGTTCAAAGTTCAGGGTACAGCGTTTAGTGTTTAGTGTTCAGCGCTTAGTGTTTAGTGTTTAGTTTTTAGTGTTTAGTGTTCAGTGTTTAGTGTTTAGTGTTTAGCGTTTAGTGTTTAGTGTTCAGAGTTAAAGGTACAGCGTTTAGTGTTTAGTGTTCAGTGTTTAGTGTTTAGTTTTTAGTGTTTAGTGTTCAGTGTTTAGTGTTCAGAGTTCAGGGTACAGCGTTAAGTGTTTAGTGTTTAATGTTTAGTGTTTAGTGTTTAGTGTTCAGTGTTTTGTGTTTAGTGTTTAATGTTTAGTGTTTAGTATTTAGTGTTTAGTGTTTAGTGTTCAGTGTTTAGTGTTTAGTGTTTAGTGTTTAGTAAATATTCACCCTCTCTGAGGGATTGCAACGGAATATTCACCATCTCTGAGGGGTTGCAATGGAATATTCACCATCTCTGAGGAGTGGCAACAGAATATTCACTCTCTCTGAGGGGTTGCAACTGAATATTCACCATCTCTGAGGGGTTGCAACGGAATATTAACCATCTCTGAGGGGTTGCAACGGAATATTCACTCTCTCTGAGGGGAAGCAAAGGAATATTCACCATCTCTGAGGGGTGGCAATGAAATATTCACCATCTCTGAGGGGTGGCAACGGAACATCCACCCTCTCTGAGGGGTGGCAACGGAATATTCACCATCTCTGAGGGGTAGCAAAGGAATATTCACCCTTTCTGAGGGGTGGCAACGGAACATCCACCCTCTCTGAGGGGTAGCAACGGAATATTCACACTCTCTTCGAAATAGCAACGGAACATCCACACTCTCTTCGAAATGGCAACGGAAAATCAATATTTGCAAAATAGAAGAAACCCTGCATTTCGAGAAAACGGACATTTTAAAATAAACTTTTAGTCATACACCAGTGATTTGTAATCAAAGCCATCTCCAAATATCATGTTTTTGGAGACAAAAAAACTGCATCCAAGTATAAAGAAATAACGATGTAAAAATAGTAGATTGATATAAATCGTGAATAAAATGATAATTGCTAAGTATTATTTATTTTTAGATAATGATTAATGAATGTGAAGAAGTAAAGAGACAGCTGAAACTGTTTTGTGGTTTTTAAACAAAAGATTTTACGCTTACCGCCCTCCTCACATACTTCATAAATTAATAAAGGAAAATATGTTTTTTTAAATTTTATTGATTAGACCAACACTGATTATTTCAGCCTTTCAGGTATTATTATTTTTAGAATAAAACAAATACAAAAACGCTAAGACCGGGGGGGGGGGGGGGGG